GCGTGCACCGCTTCTGCATGCGGGTATATCGTGGCCTTGTGCAGGGCGTGCACGTAGGAGATTTGGGGTTCCACGTGCCGGAATGTTAGTGTGATGAGAATTCAGAAACGAAACGACTATGAGTATTCATTTGGTTTATGCGGCGGAAGTGGAAGACAAATTCTATTTTTATTTGTGCGCATCCTTTTTTTATTTTTTATTTAGAAAACTGTGTGTGTATTTATCAGTTTATCACTTAAGCTGTGTTTGGATGCGAAGAGGTAGGAGGAAACAAAATGCCAATGACTGCTTGTACTAGTGGAAATTTTTTTTTTAAAATTGGTTATTTTTTACTTTTAAAATCGATTCTTTAACTAATTTTAAAAGAGCCGATTTTAAAAGTTAGACTTTTAAAATCGGTTGTTTTATAACCGATTTTAAAAGTCCGAATGTGGAAAAAAAATTAAACTGGAACGGTCGTTCCAAAATCGGAACGGGCCGTTCCAGTCTGATCCTAAAAGGCCACTTGCAGAACGGGTCGTTCCAGTTTCGAACACAACTAGATCTACAACACAGAAACAAGAAATCATGAAAAAACGAAAAGAAACACAAGAACATGAGAAGACGAAAATGAAAACGAAAGAGACAACGAAATTTACCTTATTGGAGACTAAATGAAAGCTTCAGGGAAAGATTGAAGAGAATGAGAATGCAGGGGAATATAAAAGATTTTTGACGATACTTTTAAAATCGGTTCTGGAATAACCGATTTTGTATACTACATACAAATCGGTTTTGAAATAACTGATTTTAAAAGTAGTACTTTTAAAATCGGTTATAAAAGAACCGATCTTAAACGTGGCACTTTTAAGATCGGTTACAAAATAACCGATTTTAAAAGTTCTTTTAAGATCGGTTATTTTATAACCGATCTTAAAAGTATCACTTTTAAGATCGGTTCTTTTATAACCGATCTTAAAAGTACTTTTAAGATCGGTTATAAAAGAACCGATCTTAAAAGTGACACTTTTAAGATCGGTTATAAAATAACCGATCTTAAAAGTACTTTTAAGATCGGTTATTTTGTAACCGATCTTAAAAGTGTTTTAAGATCGGTTAAATTTCAACCGATCTTAAAAGTGTTCATGTTATTTACAAAATTGCCACCGCTTCACTTTTAAGATCGGTTATCTTGTAACCGGTCTTAAAACTCCGATTTTAAATTCAATTTTTGCACTAGTGCTGGAAATTCGATCATAGTGATGACTGATAAGACTAGTGTTTTAAAAACCGAACCTGTGAGAGTACTGGGTCAATGAGTCAATGGTTAGACTGGTGGGTCACCTATTAAACCGCATGACCCAGTTTCTATTAAAAAAAATTAAAAAAAAATATTTGTTATACATATTTCATACCTATAAATTTCAAAAAAAATCACATCATATCTTAAAAGAAACTCCAAAAAAATTACAAACACATTTTAACATAATTTTATAATGTCATTCATGAGTTTTAAGCAAGTAAAACAAATTCTAAATATGAGTTTCAAACGAGTAAAAAACACACATAAGAATCAAAAAATTAGAAATGGCGCCAATATTTTACAATTATCATAATATGATACACAAACCAACAAATCTTCTCTTTATTTCTTTTAATCCTTTTTTTTTCACAATTATCATAATATTTTAGAAAATGCTACCAATATCTTAAAGAATCAAAAAATCGCACATTTTCCTGTGATTTTATAATTTAATGAACCTTATAACTTGAAGCAATGGTGCGGTGGTGCGACGAGGCGGCAGTGCAGCGATGCGGTAGTGCGACGGTGCGGTGGTGCGACTATGCGATGGTGCAGCTGTGCAGCTATGCAACAGTGCAGCGGTGCAGCTGTGCAGTGATGCGACGGAGCGACGAGCGACGATCGACGGTGCGGGAGGGTTGGGTTCGTGTCTTAAAATCAAACTCTGAAAAAAAAACTTAGGATTTCTGAATGAGGAAGCGCGTAGCGTGCAGCAAATGGGCAGAGACATTTCAAAATTGAAGGTTTTATTTTTTATATTAAAAAAATGACACCGTTTAATTATTTTTTTTCCAAAAAAAATGATGACCTGGTTTGGGTCATGAGACCCGCGAGTCGCTGGTTCAACCGGGTTTTTAGCCGGGTCACACCGAGTCATACCGAGTCAACTACACATCCGGTATGATCACTGTTTAGCTCGATCCAACAACCGGTTTCCGGTTCGACCGGTCGGTTCGAACCGAGTTTTAAAACACTGGATAAGATTGATATAATTTTAGAGAAACTCTTCGGTACCATTACATTTTGGGTGGTTTTGGAACCTTTTCTACGTGGCATAATTATAATGGTTAAGTAAGGCATATCTTGCCAAGTGACTTACATGAATAGCAAACTTTTTGAAATTGCAAAATAGTCCTAAGTGTTAAGTTAAAAGTTTAAGGTTATTTGTATTTGTAGTTTTGTAGTGGTGGCTTTACGATAGGTAGAGGTTTTGACTAGTTCATTGTTGCCGTAAAGTGAAGTACTCAACGTTCTTGGCCGACTTTCAGGTTTTCGGGTTTGGCTTTCAAGAAGGTCATCTTTATTGTTTTCGAGTTCGTTTTCTTGGTCAACTTTCAGGGTTTAGGATTTGACATTGATTTTCTCTTTCGTTATCTTTGTTTTGTAGCTTCATTAGTTACAGGTTTGCACCATTTCGTTGCCATCGTCGTTAACTACTCGACGTTCTTCCTTTAGGTTTTGGCTTCCGACTTTAACTTTCGAGAAGGTAATCTCCATTCATTTTGTTCCTCTTTCAATTTCATAGGTTATTCAAAAAATTAATCACTTATTTGGAATTGTCTTCTTCCTCTAGGTTGGGTTTTGGAAAAGGTAATTTTGATTGTTTGGCAGTAGCTATTCGACATTGATTTTTTGCGAAAAGGTAATGTCGTTTATTTAATTTTTTATGTTACTCTCTCTATTATGTTATGAGTTTGGGGTTTTTTGTTTTAAATTTTGTATATAATTAGTTAACATAAAATGAAGGTTGTGGTGAAAAATGAATGTGTTTGCACTATGAATGTGTTTGCACTATGGCTTTAATGTGTTAGTGTTATACTCTGTTTTTTTTTTCTTGTATAAACCTTTTTTGTTATACTCTGTTTTTATTTGAATTGTATTTGTTTTATTTAATGAAGGTTGCATTTTGTTTTCACATAAGTAGCTTTTTCCTTAATACTATGGTTTAATTTTAATATATACATTTATTTTGGTTTAACTGTATGTATTCTTTGATAGATAAGTTATTTGAAATTCATGTTATGGTATATATTGTAGATGGATAATTGTGATAAAGAACCAACTGTTAATTTGGGTGATGATAAGGATTTAAGTAATGATATTGTTATACTTGATGACATTGATAAAGATAGTGTGAATGATGAAGTTGATGGAAAAGTTGGTGAAGAAGAAAATGTATCAACTGATGAATTTAAAAGAATAGTTGATGGAAAATTCCGTAGATAACGTTATCTACGACCTTATTATCTACGGATTTTTTTCCGTAGATAATCGGTAGATAATTGACACTTATCTACGGATTTTCATGTTTATCTATGGATTTTTCCGTAGATAATCTTTATTTTTCTTGTAGTGATTAAAGGTTTAGAATTTGGTAGTGAAGACCATGCTTTTGAATTTTATACTGCATATGCTAGGTACCATGGGTTTAAAATAAGGAATGAAGATATGCATAGAGATATAAAGGGAAATGTTATCAAACGTCTTTTTGTATGAAATAGAGAAGGTCTGCGAAATAAAAAACACTACTTGAGGGTGGATAGGAAAAGGGAGAATAGGCCCATCACTTGTACTAATTGTCAAGCTTCGTGTTTACCTTGATTATAAAACTTCTAAATGGAGAGTATCTTCATTTGAGGAAACTCATAATCATTATGTTACCTCACTCCATGATATCCATCATATTCTTAAGTACTGTGTACTTTCTGATGGTGATAAAGCTCAAGTGAATAGTTTGCATTCATTTGGTGTTAGAACTTGCCACATAATGGGATATTTATTATCTCAAAAGGGTGGATATGGTAGTATTGGTTTCTCAAAACGTGACCTTTCCGATCATTTTTATCGAACCCAACGTGATATGATTAAAGATGGGGATGTGAGTGTTGCATTAAGCTATTTAGAAGGCAAGGCTGGTAATGATCCAATGTTTTATTCAAAATTTTAGACTACTGATGGTGGTAAATTGAAGCATTTATTTTGGGCAGATGGATGTAGTAGATCAGACATCCAATGTTTTGGTGATATACTTGCATTTGACACCACGTACAAAAAGAATAAATACAACATTCCTTTGGTAATTTTCTCTGGTTGTAATCATCATTCTCAAACAACTATTTTTGGTTGTGCTTTGTTGGCTGATGAGACTACTGAGACTTATAAGTGGGTTTTGGAGACTTTCTTGGATGCAATGCATAATAAATATCCAAGATCAGTTGTTACAGATGGTGATGGAGCTATGAGGGAGGCCATAAGACAAGTATTTCCAAATGCATCACATCACCTTTGTTCATGGCACTTACATAAGAATGCTTGTGAGAATGTTAGGATTTCTGAATTTTTATCAAATTTTAATACAGCCATGTATTTAAACTTTACTCCTGAAGAATTTGAATCATATTGGAAGAAGATAATTTCAAAGCATGGTCTTGTTGGAAATAAGTGGGTTTCAAAAACATATGATATTAAGCATTTGTGGGCTACTGCTTATTTTCGTGATAAATTTTTTGGCCGCATAAGAACGACTTCTCAGTGTGAAGCGATAAATTCAATAATCAAAACTTATGTTAGGAGAAAAAGTACTATAATGGAATTCAT